GCCAGCCACACACCAAACAAAAAACCAGGCCACCTTCCCACATTGAGGCTTCTTGGTTTTAGAGATCTTAGTTGATCTCGATAACTGACCATTTTGGCCATTGTTTTTCTTCCTAGCCTTGTATTCCCTCTCTTGTGTTTTAAGTGTATCAACAGTGATCTGTAAAACCTGAGGCTCCCACCCTTGACCCCAATAAAAGCAGAACCCCAGGCCCATGCACTGTCTCTCTCCCTCTCTCTACCTATGACCTTGCTGTGTGGTCCCAGGTGTGTTGTGTAATTTATAGGTCTTATACGTAACAAACCTTTAGTTTTTCGAAGTTTCATGATGATTATTACTGAAAGCATCTTACAGTCTTAATAAGAATCACAAAGTCTGGTCCGGTCACAACAGTGGTTTTTGGTAGGCTGAGACCACACAACATGCAGTAATACCTAGATCAATGTTTGATAAATCACTGAGTACCATAGCCCATCCAAGCTGACCCATATAACAAACTATAACGGGAGGTCCGATTGAGGGATTGAATAGCTTACTTAGCGAAGAGGACCATGTACTTATTTTCTGGGCTGAATCTGGTATGAAGGAAACCATGCAGATTCATTTTAGCTCTATGTCACCGACATTACTTTTTGGGAGGGGGAGAGGGCTACTCAGTATTTCCTCTTTGTTCTGGAAGAAGGAAGTATTGCAATTCCCAATACAGATCCAAGGAAGACTAGATAGTTCCTTTTATTATTTCTAGTAGTGATGTCTTGGATGCACGAATTAAGAACTAGGATGTCACCTGGTCCTTGATCTTTGACAAAGTGATGCAAAGACAAAAGAATAATTCAGAATTGATCCAGAGTTGTGGTGTTGAGTAGTGGCTAAAAAGCAACTGTGGCTGAAATGGCTAAAAATGGTATCACAACAAAGCCATTGCTACAGTGTGGACTTGGTTGCTATTCCAGCAGTCTTTACAACCCTGGGTCCTACACAGCTTGTCAGTCCCATCTCCCAGTGTATCAACAGGTTCTTTGAGTTACCCACGTTCTCAATAAGATTCTTTGTTTTTAAGTGATTTCCATCTCTTTCAATGAAGAACAATGTCAGATAAATCATCTTTCTCTTCATAGTCTTTACTTCCTGAAGAAAAGCACACAATGAAGACAATGATATTTTAGTACCTATCTTTCCTTTAACTACTTCCTTGCTAATTAAGTAGAGCTATCCTAGGATCTCTAAACAGAACCTTGGAGTAGACTGGGAGGGAGAACGTGGCTTTTGGCCTCTTCATGTAGTACAAATGACTACTGGGATGGGGGTTCTAATAATTTATTGCACTTGCCTTGTGCATTTATTATCTGCCCTGGAGCAATCTGGTGTTCCATACGGGATGTTTAAGATTTTTTAGCAAACTATTTCCGTTACCATTTCAATATAAAGATATAACATGAAAGAAATTCAACTTTCAACAAGATCATATCAGGTTTAATAGCCATTTAGTATTACATCCAGGAATGAAATAAGAAAGTAAGACATTTCACTGTATGTATCTGTAACAAATTTCAACGTAAAGGCAGTAAAGCTGAGTAAATCCAGATTTCAGTGAAGAAGCTCACTACTGAGAGGAGGAGAAGAATAATCAAACGTCACATTGTATAATAAAGTTTGTTGTGGAAAAAAGAAAATATGTGAAAGAAATATAGTTGAGGATAGGCTCTTTCTTACTTTTCTGGACCATGATGTAAGTGTGATTTTTATATATAGTCCTTATAGGACTAGAGGTGTTTCTATGGAATGAAATTCAGAAAAAAAAAAAAAAAAAGGTATTGTAAGGAGATAAAAGTATTAAGGTAATAATAATGGCTATAGATAATGTCTGTTGTTTAGTCCATGTCTGGCCTTTCCTTTATGCTTTACCAACCTTAGCTCATTTAATCCTCTCCACATTACAGGAGAAACAATGAAATCATGCCCAATATGCAGATAACAAAAGTGAGACTTAATGAAGTAAAATCAATTGCCCAAGGTCTTGGAATCAATCAACATTGACATTGCAAACCAAGGAATCTGACTTCAAACTTTGTGTTTGAATAACATATGGTCATCCTAAGATGACCATGAAGAAAATGGCACCTTAAGATGTGAATGGGGTAAATTATGAATTAGGAAGACTTGGGTTCACCAACCATGAGATCATGACCTGAGCCGAAACCAAGAGTCAGACGCTTAACCGACTGAGCCACCCAGGTGCCCCTGGAGTAAGAAATTTTACTTATTCCGTCCATGTCTCAAAAAATGACTCTCCCTCCAATTCTATCTTTTAACATTAATCCTCCTCCCTAAATTATGTGATCTTCATTCACTAGCACGCAAGGGGTACCCCTACCACTATCATGTCTTCTTCAAACCTTTATCTTTAATCAGGATATTTTACCCCTACTTACATTCAGAAGAATGTATGTTCTAACATCTTATTGATATAAGAGATATAAACAAAGCTTCTCCCACCAGAACTACTTACTGACTGCAATTTAGAAATGTGTTTCATGTTCCCGGCTTCCAAGTCTCTAACAATTTAACTAAGAACATCAACATAGCTTTTGCAATGTGCTTCTAAAAGCCATGACATTCAGGAGAATCACTAATTACATTTGGCCACAAATCAAATTTAATAGCATCTGGACAGTTCAGATCAAAAACCGAAACGACCTTCAAATAAGGGCAACATTTAAATCTGATATGCGTGTTATACAAGGTCATACTTAGTACAGGGTACTGTCTGTCCAGAAGCAATTATGTTGAGCAATCACATATTCTGTATTCCAACTAATGGCTCTTTAAAAGCCTTCTGATTTTTTATATATGTTTATCAGGCCAAACTTTATATATACTTACACCCCTTACAGAGCACATGTAAACGTGCAAACTAGTTTGCATATTGTTACATCATAGACAATGGAAAATGAAAAATTCAAGTTGTAAATCATATAGGATAATAACTCCAGTTATCATTATTATTAATCTACAAGGATCATTTCACTTTATTTTTGTTAGTGCATAAACTAATTACCTAAAGAATTCTTCTATTTTATCCTGGGGATTTAGAACACACTAAGCTTTATATATGAGCATGGTAAGCTTTATGCATCACTAGCAAGATTAAATGCATGCTGAAGGGATTTGCAAGAGATCCTTTGAATTGACACCTTCCAGTCTAATAGCATTTGGACATTCACTCTGGTTCTCATGTCCTCCTCACAAAAATATTTAAGGTAAATTCTGTGTAAGTCACCAGACCCTGACACATGACTTCTCCTCTTTCACTTTTTTTTTCTCTTACTTCCCTTGTTTGGTTTTCTGATTTAAAATCTAAACTGCAGTGTAGGTAAAAAGGTAACAGTTTTTTCTGTGGGAAGCTGTTCTTACAGTAATGTATTTCCTTTCAGTTTACAGAAGGATAAAAAGAATTTCTCAAGACAGAAGTCATAGGGGTCCAAGTATGAGTGTGAGTGAATTCACACATGTCTGGTCATGTCAGACAAACTGGTGAAGCAGGCTATTCCGGCCACTTAAAAGTTGGCTCAGAAACCTTCTAGAAGAGAATCCAATCCGTGCTCACTGTTGATGTTCCAAGAGGCTCCTTCCAAAGGGTGAACTGATGGATCAAGCCTGAAAGAAAGTTCCTCATGAGTAATTGAGGAACTTTCTGGGAGAGAATACATCGCGAAGAAAGAAAGAGCCAGGTCATTTGGCCTTGACTGAGCAAGGCCGCCAGGGTTGCCAGCCAGGAGACCCTGTAGTCAGTAAAGCATCCAGTTGTGTGACTCAGTTGCGTACCATTGTTCATTCATGAGAAGAGAAGATCTATAGAATATTAAGAGATTTGTGATAGAGTGTAAAAAGAAAACAGAAAAGAACCCCCACACACGTTTATTTTCCATCGAACACTGTACCTCTGAGTTCCAGTGTCCCATGGCAATGCCAGGTGGATTGGCCTTATAAGAAACAGTAGCTCTCAGTAGATGCCAACTATAGAAGTGTAGTTCCTGCCCGGAAAATGAGTGACACTTTCCACTGTCCTCCACTGCTCAAAAACAAAATTTGTAAGAAAGCAAAGGCATGTCTGGCCAGACTGGTGATGTCAGGAAGATATTCAGCAAGGGAAGAGATGGAAAGGAAGACCATAGAAGATATACAGGGATTAAGGAGTGCACCTATTGTGATGAATCACTAACTTATACACCTGAAACCGATATTACGCTGGATGTTAACTAACTGGAATTTAAATAAAAACTAAAATAAAAGAAGGTTTGAAGGCAGTAAAAATACTCGGTATGATATAATGATAGATTCAGGTCATTGTATATTTGTCCAAACCCGTAGAATGTACTATACGAAGAATGAACATTACAATATGAGCTGGGTGATTATAATATGCCAATGTAGGTTTATCAGTTATAACCAAAGTACCACTCTGGTAGGGCATATTGATATTGGGGGATGCTGTGCAGGTGTGGGACCAGAGGCTGTGCAGGAAATCTGACTACCTTCATCCTGAGGATGCAGTGAAACTAATAAAAGGCCTTACAAAAGAAAAAGAAAAAGAAAAAGAAAAAGAAAAAGAAAAAGAAAAAGAAAA